ATTCTATGATTCTATGATTCTATGAATGTTCAAAGCAAATTACTTTTACATGAATGGCACCACAGTCATTTGTATTCATTAGGATCTTGTTTTAAAAAAAGTTTACAGAGATGATCATAAGTGTATAATTGCTCATTTTTTGAAGACTCCAAGACAAAATTTATTGTGTGACTTCTTTTACATTCTGTTCCTTTTAGTGCCAAAGATACCAGAAAATTGCAAGAATCGTGAATTTTCCATACCAAAAGATTACTTTCTTACTGTATCCAGAACAAAGAAACAAGTGGATTTTGTTAATTAAATAGGCTTGAAGAGTTAAAATTGACAGTAGATCTTAGCAAGAATATTGTGTAGTTTGGAAGCAGGATTAACATACATACAACAATTCACAATAATATTTTGCATTACTTTTCTTTCAACAGAAAATTCATTGCTTCGCTATATGAGCAATGAGAAAATTGGTCAAGAAGACTACATGTTTCAAAGAAACAGTAAAAAGGATACTGGGAAAAAGTCCAAAAAGAAGGGAGACAAGAGTAGTAGTCCAAGTCATTACTCACTGTTGCCTAGTTTACAAATGGACTCATTGAGACAAGAAGTCATGGGCACACCTGGACCAGAAACTGCTTTGTACCACGTGAGTGAAAATAACTTTAACAAAAGTTGTTACTCTGTGCTTGTGATGAGAGACTGTCTGGTTTTTATAGTGGTCTTGAAACCTTTTTCAGACTGCTGCTGTTGCACGGATTCCTATTCTTCAGACAATTACTAGTTCCTAAAGAATATTTTAGAATTCTTTATTTTGTTGTTACAAATGTAGGATGGACACCAGTGTTTTATCATCTCCTTTAACTAGAAGTTGTCATTTTTGAAATGGAGTGTGTTACCACTGCCTTGACTTACTTGCTACAGATGGGAGGAAGCAGCAGTTTCCAGACTGGCTAGAAACCTTCTTTCCAGCATCTATGTCACTGCAATATGCTAAGTCTTATCAGGCAACCCCTTTACTTAATTAAGGTTCTTGAAAGGCCTGATACTGGCAAGAAAACCTGGGGGAGGCATTTGTTTTACCTTTGAATTAAGGGGACTCATAATGCGTGTAACTGTTTTTAACATATAGCCCTCACTAACTCAGTAAATGTGAAGGAAGGGATTCTGCTGAATAGGATGGAAAAGGAAAATTGCAGTAACTTGCCAGTTCTCAAATGTGTCAAGAAAATGGAGTTAGAAGATCACAACATACTTTAGATATGATATCACGTTCACCTCATAGAAGCATTTACATTTTAAATCTCAGTAGAATATGTAATTGTAAAGGATTATTCACTCAGTAACTGTACAACAAAACAATATAAATAATTGAAATTATCTTCGTATACTAACAAAGAGTATGTAATGTAGATTGCCACTGTCTAAGGGAGGTGGCAGTATGGACTTGTCAGGAAGTCTGCTGTGAAAAACTGCCAGATGGAGCTTGGTCCACTGGGTTCTAAAACTCCTTAATGTGCTGCAGTGTATAGATAAGTGTGATAAATTTCAAAGATGTCATTTAGTATTAAAAATAACCGCTTGTGGTGCACTTTAATTAAATCAGGACCCTAGATGCAAGAACTGCTATTCCCTTTCTTTTTAATATCTACTAATTTAGGTATGATAATAATTTTTTCTTACATTATAATTTCCAACTTTAGTTTTATGCTCTTTTTGGAAGTTGGAAATCTGATAGTGGGGAGATTTCCGTTTGCAAGACTGATATATAGTGTTTCCCTAATACATGAAGCCAAGGAGATTGCAAGTATCCCCAAACTGTTCTCTTTGTAATGTCTGCAGTCTTTCCTAGAAGGAATCTAATCACTGCAATAGCCCTTGAAATCAAATATTTACAGAACAATATAGAGAAGTTCTTTGTGTAATGGAGGACTTTCCACTCTGTAAAGAACAGTGTGGTAACTTTGAAACACTTTTCATGTATTGAGAGTTGAGAGAATACTCATCTCTTTGTTAGTATATGTTAAATTCCTGACACTCTGTGAGAAAAACTTTTTTTTTTTTTTTAATAAGGTGCCATCTTTGTTTTTTCTTAGTTTCCTCTATTACCCATTATCTCAACTTTCCAAATTGTGTACAAAAATAAATAATGTACACAGAAACAGAAAGATTCTTCAAAATTCTGGTGTGGAAGTTAATAAGCAACAGCAAACTTAGAACTGACTGTCAGCATTTGTCATGTACTTTGAATACCTGTCCACAAAACACCTAAACTGTTAACACCACAAATTCCACCAGTGACTGCTAATCCTTTTTTGTGCATCATTACCGTTAAAGGATGTCTTTCTCTGTAATGCCATTAAATCTTCAGCATCTTTTTTGAAGTTTACTGGGAGCTTATTTATTTATAAAAATAAATAAAGGTTATTCATTCTTCAGAATACAAATCAATATTGATTTGCCAACTGGCTTTGAAGCAAAATGCATGAAATAAACAGAAAGAGGAAGCTTGGGCCATTGATTTGTCCCTGGGGAAAATGGGAAGGAGCCCTTCACGAAGCACTTACAACCCTCTACAGCTGATTATTGCTGTTCCTATCGCTGGAAGCCGCCTGGCTGCCACCGTTCGGTATAATACAGCTCCCTTTTTGTGGTTGTGGTACCCAAGCATACTGGCTTATGAAACCCTAATCTAGTTTGCAGATGGGCTATATGTCTTCACCACATAGCAGAGCCAGAGGTTTTGTAGTAAATTGATCAGAACTTTTCTTAAAATCTTAAATAAACAGTGCAGTGAGCAGATAAGGAACAGGGGAATACAGATAAAACACAAGGAACTCATATCTGACAGCAGTATAATTTTATTAAACTATAGATAACAAATAGGACAGTGAAAACTTATTTAATGCTCAAATTGCACCTTAAAGATCACTAAGAAGTGACTGTCCTATTAGAAAATATTTTTTTGCAAGCCACAACTACCTAATTTTCTCAAAGTGTTTGAATTGGCTGTAAATGGGAGCCTCTGGATGATCACAAGTTCTGTGCAGAGGAATGGCAATAACTCCAAAAACTACACTAATAGTAGTGAAAGAAACTGGGGTTTTTCATTTGGGTTTTTGTTTTGGGTTTTTTTTAAGAAGTCAATGTTTTCATCATACTAGAATATCCGATGAAGGACTACTGTGACAGCTCTGTGCTGCATACCACAAGCCAGTGGATTTTCCTGAAGTAAGGTGCAGCACCTGCCAGGTGACTGTAGTTGAACTTGATACTGCCTTGATTGTTTGTATTAGGTCCCACTAGGCAATACTCCACCAGGCTTGATAAATAGTTCCAATCCCTGGTTGCTCTTGTTAAACCTTTTCACCTGTTAGCCTGTGTTTGCCTGGCTTCTATGCCTAACCTTATTTATAAATGTACCTTTATCCTCCACGTTTAAAGGTCTTTTTTTACCAAATTTTATCTTCTTATAGTCATTCACAGGTTATAATCAAATCACTTTGTAGCCTTCTCTTGCTTAAAAGAAATAAGTTTGTCATCAGAGAGTGTGTTTTCATATCCTTTCATCATTCTCATAATTTTTTCAACTCCTCGTATTTAATCCTGAAGTTTCCTAAGTATCCTAAGCATCCTTCCTGAAGTGTCTATGCCAGAACAGGACATAAATTTCCAGGGGAGATGGACAGAAAGGTAATATAATCTTTCTATTCCCGTTCATTACCTCTCTATTTAAATATTTAAAGGATTGTTTACCCATTTTAACCATAGACTTGCAGTGGAAGTGTTTTTGTTACTTGGTTTTGGTTTTATTTTTTCTGTAATGTCACTTTTCCAAATCTAATAATTTATATCTTGCATTCTTTGCTCTTAAATAAATAGCATTGTGTATGATTTGCCATGTTGAAACATACGACTTCTTGGGTATGCTTGTTGAATAATCTATGTCGCTGAAGCAACCCTAAGTATAAAATACCAGAGAGTAAGGGCTCTGGGCCCCCAAATTGGACTCCCATGATTCCCAAGACCATAACATGGAGCATTGAAGCTCCAGTAATCCAGGGTCTGCTGTAGAATGGAACTACCAAAACCCTTGTTTTGAAATTATCTTTTTAATATGTATATTCTGTGAAATAAAAAAAGCCTGCACATTTTATTTCTTTATTTTTTCTCCATTTTCTTTTCCCCTTTTTGTGAATTCCCTGGAATAGAAACCATGCTGCTCACTCAGCATTCAGGTGGTGTGTCATTCAGTGGTCTTTGATTCTGTGTTACCTTTATTCAGTGATGTTTTCAATTTTTTTTTGAGTCCATTGATATAAATGGAATCAAATAATTAAATAATTTTGGACTAAGAATGCATCCCACAAGTTAGTGATGAATTCCCCTTACATTTCCAAGCCTCTTTCCTTTTGAATTTTGCAGCCATTGATCTGTGCAGGATGATTACCATTTTACTGTGAAGGTTTTCTTCAGAAAAGCAGCTTTTACAATTATGCTGATTTAAACTCCTCGCTTCTACTGCTTTTGTGTGTGGCTCTATAAAATAGAAAATTCATTGGTGAAAAAACTACACTGATGAATTAAATGACTATAACAGAAATAGTATGTTTTTGTCCTGTAAACAAAGTAGATGGCATTAAAAAATTACCGTAGTAATTTGGAAGTACATGTTTGTTGTTTATTTGCTAAAAGTTATTTTGAAAAATGCCAAAGGATTAAAATTATTATATTCTGAAGTGATCACAAGAATGTGACAGTCTAGCATTTTCCTGACCATCAGTATACTAAGTTTGCATAAAATCACTGGTTTTAACAATTTTGTTTATATTGTTGACCTGCCGTTGCAATCAAAAACTGTATGGTCAAGGGAGCATTTAAGTTATGGCTTGGAAAAGTGAACAGCATTTACTTGTGTCCACTGAACATAGCTGATGTGATAGCTGATATAATACTGAAAGAAAAATTAATTTGTGTTATGTGTGTGAAGTAATCATCTCTTGTATCCACTTATGTTATTTTTTTAATATATATATACAAAGTCTCTTCACCACTTTCCTTTGTTTTGTCTCCCATTCCAGAAAGGGTTTCCAGCATATGTTGATTTCTAGCCAAGTTGTTGGTTTTGCATTCTATTTTTCTTCTTCAGTATTGCAAACGAAATACCAACACAGAGTGTTAACATTTTTATTAAGCCAAGGCAAACTGTTTGAGCTGTTGCTAATCTAGTGTGCAAGCAGGTGTTCAATGTGATCTATTACTGTAGATATAAAATGGTGCAGTTAAAATTGTTTTGGACCTTTGAGGCACAAAAGATGAAAGCTCTGACACATGATTATAGTTTTTTAAGTCCATTATGTTATTCTGTATAGGAATTTCCTTGGTATGTTGTGCTTTGTTTTCATTGAAGGAAATAATGTGGTTATTTAGGAGGGAGATAGTGTCATGAGTCAAAAGAAGTTCCACATCAGGTTAATAATAATCTGCTCCTATCTGGATCAAAGCATCTTTCCTTTTTCTAGAAACAGAGAAGGAAAGGTTGCAGCCTATTTTATATAGTAGGGAGTTACACAAGAAAAAGTAATCTTACTTACAAACAATACACTTACATTATTGACCTCATTCCTTCTCCCTTCCTGCCGCCTATAC